TTCACGGAACAACCCTAAACATTCTTTCCAGATTCCGGGCCAGTGACAAACATAATTCAGTCATGTGCAGTTCACATATTAATTCAGTATCTCAACCAAGATGATGTTTACATATTTATAACATTCACCGACATTACGTAGTTACTCAACTCTGTGATGCCTACAATTAGCGTACAATGCAAACTGACAACTGTCACAGTCAGATTGATCATGTGACGTCACTAATTGCAGATGCACTGACTTGTCGGCTGTGAGAATTTATGGCTATCTGTCTAGACACAATTCTAATCTAAGTGTCACCGCTCATAAGCCCATTACTCACGCATATCAGGGTAATTAAACACGGAGCTTATGGGGGGATTAATTAGTTTATTGTTTTACAGTTATCGGCTACAAAGTGTGTCTTCCCACACGGACAATCAACACATAGCCTCGAGGCAATCAGACTGTCTGGAGGCAAGGTGTTAATTGTGATAAGATAAAACTATCTTAAATAAGATGTGATGATAGCATTGGATTGTTTTAAATAAAATGTGGCGGCAAGCTTGTATAACAGTGATATCGTCAGCGCTAAAATCTGGATTTTCGAGAACTAAATTACAACAGATGCTTTGTTTATTTACGAAAAAGTACATCGAACCAGCATGTAAACATGTATAGTGTGAATTTTTATAGCATAATATTTAGGTCCGTAGTGTAAACAAACACAATTCAATAAAAATGGGTTAGATATTTTGTTTATTTGTTGTTTACGCCGCACTGAGCACTATCCAAGCAACATGACGGCGGTCTTTAAACAATCGCGTCTGTGTCAGACTATCCAGTGATCAACAGAACGAGCATCGATTTACAGATATTTATAATGACCTCACAAAAAACGCAACAACGGTTTATTTAATATAAATTTGAAAATAACCTCAACGATAAACAAAGCTAAATCCTTGCGATGACCCATCGAATGTCTGTGTCTTCAAAGAATTATTATCATCATAATTATTTTTAACAGTGTAAAATATGGCTATAGCAACATAACATCAATCTAAAGATAACAGAAACTAATCCAAAACAGCTTCGTAGCTTTATACTATTACTCTGACGAAGTTTCCATATAATATATAAAACCAAGATATCCAGACAGAACAACTAATAGCTCCTCTCGGTGGTCTTATATTTCAGTTTACGCTGGTCGTAAGTAACTGTGATGAATATTCAAGATACGCGGTAATTTGGGCACAAATTGTTTTCTTATTACCTGTAACAGTGTACAACATAAGTAGTGTATATCTCGTCCTGCGCAGTAAATAACGCCATACATGTTACTAGAAATAGAGTTCTCGGTATAAATCATCACTAAATTGACAATATTGTTATATACGACATAGAAGCACAAGTATATCCTAGTCATTACTCCACCCCCACTTGAAGCAGGAGAAAGGGCGAGACTGCACGTGAGTTGGTATATGACGTCACGTCACCAGTGAAGCCCCGAAGTTGACAGATGTGTCTCGCGCCTGTTCTATATTTCTGACAGATTTATCAGTATATTCTGTCATCCTCAAACGCTAGGTCCAGACAGCTCTTATCTGTGTTTGTCTCTGCCTTCAAAAGCCCGCCATCAACGTTTGTCTGATCAGCCAGACACGAAGGATTCAGTTATCCGCCATCGTATACATTATAGACGAGTTAAACATGATAACTACAACATGTCTGTACAACTCCCATCTGTGGATTTTATTTTATTTACATCTGGAAAATAACATTTTTACAATTAATTTTCGATTTTGATGATACGGTAGTGTGGGTGTTGGGTGCGTGAGGATGTGTGTTAATTATCTACCACGGTTAAGGAACGGCGACTAAACTATTTGTATTTTCTATACTATTTTCAATTATGTGTTTATACATAAATACACATTTAAAGTGGATTAGCAACATAATCAATTACACAGAGCATGCGAGTCACATATGTGATAGAATTCTTAATCATATATTACTTATTTGATGCATTGTATTAATTTATTCCGCTCTTTGGCATGAACTGTCAAACACGAAACACACTGATCACGTTGGAATAAACCTCACGTTCACAACGTGTTCCGAATGTTCGTTGCAGTCGAAAAAACCGTTTGTCATTGTTTCCTCGTGTTGATCGATGTCGGAGTTACCTCCCTTCTCCCAATAACCTGTATTGAACATTTTTGTACTGAAATCTGAGCACTTAATAAAACGCACGTACAAAATGAAAATGTATGTGATCACAGAAATGCAATTTTATATTATAATAGCAGAATCAACAATCACAACATTTGGTGTTGTTAAATACATATTTTGCACAGTGAACCAATATCTTGAAATTTTACGTTTTTCAAAATATCTTATTTGAAGTTTTAAATTTCATGGTAACTTGTGACACTACTTTCAAGTATTAAGTGTTTATAATTTCAAGTTAAAACGATTAGTCACGACCCAGAGACAGGGGTTAAGTAATGTCTCAGCGCGTGCGGTTTATGATATCACTTGCCACCATCTGCTATCGTTTCATATCTTCAGATGCTTCAAGCAAGACAGTAATGATATCACTCGCTTCGGATAATTCCACATTTTCATCCCGAGGCTTCCCGATATGTACCACGTGTGATGATATAACCTGCTACCTTCAGTAAGGGCACATTGAATTTCAATTTGTAAAATGAGTCTTAACATATTAAACCCTATCTATTGTTTCCATACCAATTGGTGCGTTTGTTGACTTGAAAGGTATGCGTAGTCTCTCTTCATAAGAGCGTCCTCTTCGGCGATAATTATTGCAAAGTTGTGTAAATTGCTTTGAGTTTTCTTTGTTCCCCGGTTGACCCGCCTGATTAATTGGCTACTGGTGTTTACCCTCCAACACTACAGATTGCGGCCAACAGGTAAAAAACGGATGATAGGTATGTCAACGAAGAAGGTTTGCATTGAGTCCGCTTGGCCTCTTGGGTCCTTTTTGATTGGACGGCTTAGCTGTCAGTCATTTTCGTGGGCGGAGCGGATATACGCTTCGCTGAGCCCGCCTCGATAGAATCTCGATATATTTGTACTTATTTTAAGCATTGATGCTCGCTGTTATGACACTGGGAAAATATAGCCATGAGCGATTATTTCAGTTTATACCACGGCCATTACGAATACGACTTGATGCCACACAACGTTGTCGATATAATAAAGACAGACATCATGTAACACTGTTATACGTGTATTCACTGTTATATATGTATGTTACATGAAAGTGATTGATAACAATGGATTCGATTAATAAATTCGGTTTGAAGAAATGTCCCCATAGACTTAAATGACCGACACACTTTGGTTTATTTTCCGTTTTAAGACGTTGAAAGATAACCGAGTAATCTATAGCTTGTGTGTGAAAATTCAATAGTTTTTACTATTTGGAGCAGGTGATTTATTAACTTAGAAATTGACAGTACATATTTGTCATTTACCTTGCTTCTGTAGAGTGTTTTCTTAAAATTAACCTGGACATATCTTCAAATAAAAATTTAACACATTTTGAAATGTGAAAAAGAGACAGCACGAGTCACCGTGGGTTAAAATATATACCGTGTCACGACAATTTAAAATGGAGATGGTTAATCGATAATTATGCTTTGGTTGAAAATCGTTTCTTTCTCTTTGTCAAACTGACATGAACTGTAGGTGTACTATTCTATCAATGCAAGAGGCGTGGCTTATCAGGCGATGTCTACCTCGTAACCGTGTGTTTCCTGACAATACACACAGCTGGCTTGTCAATCATCCAGCAGTGGGCGGAGCGTTGTGACGTCACGTTCCCATTGCACGCATTCGCTACCGTGAGAGATACACGGCCTAAGAGAATTATGTCTTACTGTGAAAACACTGTGTGTGTTTGAATTTGAGTAAATGTAAGAAGCCACGGATATACATTCAAGATGATACCGATGTAAGTAAGAATGTTGCTTGTGGACTGTGTACGTTTGTGTCACTGTAGATGTCCGTTAGAAGGACGAGGACTGTAAAGGTGAGCGGTGCGAGTCATATCGGTCGATTGACGGCGGTGACACAGGAAATACGCTTGTGACGGACCCTCAAAGTTCACCTGGATATCAAAGTCGTTATCAAGAGGTTTGTACGTCCACCATGCAAAACTTAGGCCATTGTTTTGTCACAGGAACAGTTTGGTGATGGAAAGTTTGGAAAGGAAGATCATGTTTGCTGGTTAGCGAGCTGGTCTAGAGCTTCACGCACAGGTGTGTACACAGGGCTCGTGCGACCGTGCGTGTGCTTCTGCTGAAACATGGCCTCGGCTAAAAACAGCATCGAGAGGCCCGCTCCAAGGACTTCATATCATGTCATATGTATCATATTATTACAGTTTTTAGTGAAATTTTCTCAAGGCCAGGGTCCAGGAGTGATATTTTACATACCCGAGGAGTCGCCCATTGAACGACGGTGGGGACAATCAACACAACGGCCGGGTATACTTACACTATGCCCACACCGTCGCTATATTTCACGTTAGAAAGTTCAACAGGCAAAATTAAAACTTTGCAAGTTATAAATCGGGAGTCACTGTCAGAAGATCAGATCAATATTTTCATCATTGGAAGACACCCTTCTCTGTCCGGTCAACCTATGGAAATTCTTGTCAAAGTTCAGGATATAAATGACAATATTCCAGTGTTTCAAGAATCTGTGTATCCTGTTGCAATACCCGAAAATTCGCGAACAGGCTCCCAGCAACTTTTAGTTACTGCATCCGATGCTGATGAAGGAGAAAATGGAACTATTACAAGTTATAGAATTATTTCAGGCAATGATGATGGTAAATTTCGACTCATTCCCCCCAAGTTCTGTAACACCATTTATGTATTTGGAAGTGCAAGGTGTTTTAGACCGGGAGACCAGGGATTCATACAAACTGAACGTTTCGGCCAGTGATGGTGGGACACCACCCCCTATATGGATTCATACAATTAGATATTATGATAACGGACACCAATGATAACAACCCCACATTTAACCCGAGTGAGTTTGAGGCTAAAGTGAACGAAAGTGCACCAATAAATACAGCTGTAGTAACTGTCCATGCTACAGATGCGGACAAAGGTTTAAACTCAGAAATTGTGTACAGCCTCAGTGATGAGAACAGCGGCCAGTTCAGGGTGGAGGAAAGGACAGGTGTGATCAGGACATTAAAAACTCCCTTGACTTGTACAAGAATCTGCGCTCGTTCATTGAGGTGTAACCCAAACAGCTGCTTGATCACCGTTGAGGCATCAGACAGAGGATCACCATCCCTCCTTGGCCGTGCTTATATCACTGTTATCATCAATGATGAAAACGATCACGATCCCATTATAAGTTTTACTTACTATCCAGACCGAAGTAAGGATTTTGCTACAGTGGATGAGAATGTAACGCCTGGCAAAAAGTTGCATCTGTGTCTGTCATCGATGATGATTCTGGTGAAAATGGTAACACATCTCTCTCGATCATCGGTGGTAATGAACTTGGACATTTTAAACTTTTCACACTCTTTAACCCGTACTTAAGTGTAAATTTGATTCAGGTCATTGGAGATTTAGACAGGGAGAAAGTGAGCATGTATAACCTCACAATGAAAGCAGTTGATCATGGATACCCTCAACGTAGTTCCACTGGCCATCTCATAATCTATGTAAGCGATGCTAACGACCATGCTCCAGTTTTTGCAAAACATGAGTACAGGGTGAAGATGAGCGAACTTGAATTGCCAGGAAGTTTTGTGGAAAGTGTGACAGCCTCAGATGAAGATTCAGGCCCAAACTCTGCATTGTCATATTCAATTGTGACAGGAAATGACCTGAATTGGTTCCGGATTGATCCAGCTACAGGTCTTGTTACCACCCAGGACAAGCTAGACCATGAAACTACCTTCCAGGTCATCATGAATATATCGGCAAAAGATGGGGGCGCTCAGATTTTCAGAAACTACACCACACTGATTGTTACGATTCTTGATGAGAATGACGTGGTTCCGACATTTGATCGATCGGTGTATGATGTGAATGTTCGAGAAGACATAGGGGTTGGATCTGACATCATCACTCTAACAGCGACGGACACTGACGAAGGCTTGAATGGAACTGTTAGGTACCTGTTTCACCCAGTGTTGATCGAAGCTACCCAAACACTTTCCAAATTAATTCTATCAGTGGCAGGGTCAGAACAGCTAAAGAGTTAGACCGAGAGACTGTTCCTAAATACACCATTTTAGTCATAGCAAGAGATGGTGGAAACCCATCACTTTCATCCACAGCATCTGTGATAGTCAGCCTGAACGATGTGAACGATAACGCCCCTACATTCCGAGCCCCGACAATACTTCAGCAGTATCCTAGAGAACCAGCCTTCAGGGACTGATGTGGTCCAGGTGTTTGCCTTTGATCCAGATGAAGGACTCAACAGACGCGTCACCTACAGCTTCTTTGGGGACAGCTTCAGCAGCTTCTCCATTGATGCATCCACTGGATGGGTCCGGACAACCAAGCAGCTGGACAAAAGTCGCAGCCCATACCGTCTGACTGTGCGGGTTACTGATGGTGGGGGGAAGATTGCATCTCCTGATGCTTCTTTGGAGGTCACTGTCGCTAACGTTAATGACCCTGCTCCACAATTTAGTGGTCAAAGCTATACATTCTCCATTGAAGAAGTTGGTGAAAATCAGATTCCTGATGTGAGCAGAAGTGTTGGAAGAGTAACGGCTACCGTGTCAGACAACACCCCTGTGACATATGCTATTGTTGGGGGCGATCCTTATGGAGTGTTCAACATAGACAGAACATCCGGGCAGATTACCACTGTAAAGAAAGTGGACCGGGAAGTACAGTCTGAGTTCCACCTGAAGGTAATTGCAAGCGGTTCTCGCTTCCGGGAGACATCAGTGAAGGTAGAGGTCACTGACATCAATGATAACTCCCCTGTCTTTGTGGACCAAACCATGGAAACCTCCGTGCATGAAAACTGGCCAATCGGCCGGAACATCTACCATGCAGAAGCCAGGGATGCTGACTTTGGTCCCAACTCGGATCTCTCCTACACCCTGACGTCTAATTCTAACAATGTCTTCATGATTAAGGCCCAGACTGGAGTGATTTACCTGAACAAGCCACTCGACCAGCTGCCATCCAACAGAAGCACCCACACCCTCACTGTGACAGCAACTGATGCAGGAACGCCCCAGCTCTCTACCACTGTCGACATCACTGTCTTCATCCAAGATGTCAATGATCATAACCCTGTGTATCAAAGCAGTCATTATGAGAGGTCTATCCATGAGTCTAAACCAGTCAATGAACCAATATTCCAACTGATTGCCATTGATGAAGACTTGGGCCAGAACGGTGCTCTTGTGTACAACATCACAAGAGGAAACCTGCAACATCGGTTTGGTATATTTCCCCGATGGTACTCTCTATGTTGCTCATAAACTGGACAGAGAAGAAAGGGACATCTATTCTTTGTCTGTGACCGTCAGCGACCGGGGTGCAGAGCCTAGAAGCTCGGTAGCCAACATAACATTTCATATTCTCGACGACAATGACAACAAACCAGTTTTTAGCAATGACACATATGAACTCTATGTTCGAGAAAACATGCCCCTGAGAACCTTCACTGGAACAGTCCGGGCAACAGATGCTGATATAGGTAGAAATGCTGAGATTATCTTCTCAGTTGGAGGTGATCAAACCAATTTTACTATCAATCCTCAAACTGGAGAGGTATTCACATTGAAATCTTTTGATAGGGAAAGTATGCAGACTCTAATGGGAAGAGATTATTATGCTTTTGAGGTAACAGCAACCGATAATGGACTGAAACGTCTTCATGAAACTGCTTTAGTGAAAGTTTATGTCACAGATGATAATGATAACCCACCAATCTTCTCGAAGCAAATCTACACTTCATCTGTGATGGAAAATGCCCAGCTTGGAGTGAGACTCACCACAATCACAGCCACTGATGTTGACATTGGAGAAAATGGAGCAATTTCTTACGTGTTCCTGTCAGGAAATGAACAGAAGAAGTTCAGGATTGATGAAACACAGGGTAACGTTTTTCTCATCGCTGAGCTAGATCGTGAAACAATAGATCACTATGACCTAATCATCTTGGCCTCTGACTCTGTGGATGTGAGCAACCGCCTCAGTGCCACTGCTACTCTGCACATCACCGTCATGGACTTCAATGACAACATACCAATGTTTGTCTCTCCTCCATCAGAAGCCAGCATCCTTGAGTCAGCCCAGCCTGGAGAACTTATTGCTTCGTTTTCTGCTGTGGATGATGACATTGCCAACAATGCCGTCCTCTTCTATGACATCAACCTTGGCAACAACGGAAACTTCTTCAACCTGGACAGGCACACGGGTAAACTGTACCTAAACAAACCCCTGGACTACGAGAATACCAAGAAGTTTACTCTGGAGATAATGGTGTCTGACGCAGGGGATGGTGACCACCAAACACTGTCGTCCAGCACCTCATTCGTCGTCAATGTCCTGGATGTCAATGACAATGCTCCCATATTCAGTGATGGGTCCATCTCAAGCTCTGTGAGGGAAGATTCCGCAAAGGGCAAAAATGTGGCTTCAGCTAATGCCTTTGATGCTGACTCAGGTCCAAATGGGCAGATTCTGTACAGCATCATTCAACAGAACCCTGTGGGCAACAACTTCCAGATAAACCCTGCAACTGGTGATATTTACATCCATGAGAAGGTTGACCGAGAAGTGTCTGAACTCTACACAGTAACCGTCATGGCAACAGATCAGGCAACAGATCCACTTTTAAGACTCTCCTCCACGAAAATCGTCAGCCTCATCATCCTCGATGTAAATGACAATGCACCAACATTTAAGTCTCAGAACACATTTCCTGTTTCTTCAAGTGCCACTCGTAGCATCATCACCACAATCGAAGCAGATGATCCTGACACCGGTAATAATGGACGCATATCGTTCAGTATGGTGTCTGGTGACACCACTCTGTTCTCCTTGGCCTCCAGTGGACAGTTGAACCTGTTGAAGAACTTCCCTGTGAATCCAGTCTCCTACTCCTTGACAGTCAAGGCCACTGACCATGGACAGGATGATGGGAGGCCCGATCCCAAATCAACAAGCATGGACTTTACAGTTTTGGTCATATCTGAAAGTGGTGGTCCTATATTCTCCTCACGTTCGTACAGTAGTGGTGTTCAAGAGAACCAGCCTGTTGGTACAAGCGTTTTGCAAGTAGATGCGACATCTTCCCAGTCTGGATTACGTGTAGAATACTTTCTCACAGGCGTTTCAGGCTCCGCAGGAAGGATATTTGACATTAATAAATCAACTGGAAGGCTTACCACTGCACAAGTTCTTGACAGGGAAAAATTACCGGAATATGTGGATGTCACCATTTATGCTGCACTGATTGGTGGAAATGGCCCAAGAACTCGCTCCACTCAGGTAAGACAGAAACCTTCCTATATTGAAGGTAGACAACTCTTAAAAAATTGGCTACATCAATTCTGTCTGAATCTCTGTTGTTTGTAATCAGTGACACCATATATCTTCTTGCTTGAAGAATGGGTCTTTTAAAGTTCTTTTTGTTCTGGTAATATCAGCTCGTAATGGCCCATATCATAACAGAGGTCGCCTGAAAATTATACTACAAGCAAGTTTTGGCTAGTGGACTCAAAAGAGTTCAGCACAAATTCATAGATTCAATTTGAGTGGCATTTAATTTATTTCAACAATGATGTAAGAAAATATACACACAAACATTTTTTTTGTCAGTATTGAAATGTAGCCAGTTTGTAATACAGTAATTACTGTGCATGAGAAAAGTTTTGAAATCGCCATGGAAACATGATTTCTGTAATATAAAGTTTTCACTATTATCTCTGCAGAGAACAAAACAGATACATATGTTCAAGCATGTCAAACTGGTTATATTAAAAACATATCCAAGGAATAGAATTTTTCTTCAGTTTGAATTTTAGCAACAAATTTCTCCGGTTTTGACACCAGATTCAATTTCTGTTTCCATGGTATATTCAAATGTTTTCTCTTGTATTGAATTTCATGTCAAACGTTATTCTCCGCAGACCAGCAAGAATACATTTACACTGCAACACAGCCATTTACTGACACTGTATACCACAAGCCCTACATCGTTATTGGTTTTCTTAGAAAACTCATCACATTACACATTCTTTCAATATGCCCCAAGTAGCCCAACAAACAATACACGATCTGTCAGCTGAGAATATTCTAGCATGTCAAATGGATATAATTGAAATTCAAATCTTGACAAAATATATTTTTCTTTAATGTATTTTCACATCAACAAAGCATTTTCTTGACAAGTGGCGTTAGCTTGTCCCAGGGAAAACGCATATCTCTTTGAATATCTATAATGAAATTTGAATACTTTTTTAACTTGTTTGAGTAACCTGCTTTAAGATGAATCATGAAAGTTGTTTATTTCATATTTTTTTTAAGGAACAGGTTATTGATTTTAACAAAGATTATAAAATGATTGTAACGTCCATTGTGAAAATTCTTATGGTAATATCTGAAGAAATTCCAATGGGATGCTGTAGATTTAGATTCTGTTTTAAATTCAGTTTGGTTTTTATAATGGTTCAAATGAGCTTCGTCTTGCATTCAATCTCTTATATAACAGCATACCCTGCTTTCCCATGTGATTTCAAAGCTCGTTGTTATAATCAATAATAATGTAATAATAGAACCGCAGAAACATTTCCCATGATTCTCAGCATTGTACCTGAAAACGGGAAGCTGTTGACAATGATTGCATTGACGACTGACCTACTAAAGGCTAACTCTAGTTCAACCCCTCAGAACCAAGCTATAATATTGACTTGGTCAAGACACCTACTGTTCACGCTTATTCGCAATAGATCTATTGGTATTCGAGCTTTTCCGTCCCCGCTATTGAAGTGGTGGTATATGGGCTGGTGTATAATCTGTTTATACTGGATCGGTTGTCACTCCTATGTTATGTCAGGCTGGTACCTGTGGGGTGTGGGTAAGGCTGGCTGGTGCACAGCACTTGAAGTCATTGTTCAAGGGACTATTGCAATGGCTATTGTAGTGTGCTTGACTTTCCTTCTGTGCGCTGTTCCACAGGAAGGAAATAATTATTGAAATGTTTGTGTGTTTTTCAAAGGAAAAAGTTAAAAAATATTTGAAAGGTAGACTGTAGGTTATAGAGCCGGTGAGTAAGTGAGTGAAGTTTAGTCCCCAAGTCAATAATGTTGATATGTATTTTCTTGCTTGTGGTGCACACTTTGTTTCTCGGAAACATGGCTGTTTTGAGTGGGGTGCTGATAATACATGCCATAACGTGTTTCGGTGTTTTTTCACCGATGCAATTACTTTACCATGTGCATGTAACAGGAAATGCCATGAAATGTTAATTGCAAAGTACATGTAGTTGATTATTGCCAATGTTGCAATAACTCACTCACTCACTCACTCACTCACTCACTCACTCACTCACTCACTCACTCACTCAGGATATTACAGCTATACTTGAATTTCAGAACCTGTATGAAATAATTATGTGAAAAAGCCAAATATTGTTATTGAGTTTATTGATGGTCATGAAATATGACCATTTTAATAAATAAAGGTTAATTTCAAACGGAGGTTAGACTTCCAAGGGAGATAATTTATATGACATGTGTGATGAGGGGAACCTTAATATATGGGCCCCTGTACCATCTTGCAAGTGATTTATCCCTGGTGCCGTTTAATTTACAGCTTGACTGTAACCAAACTGCAAGATGTCTTTGATACAGAAAAATTGCCAGGATTACCTTGTCTGGTGTGAATTAAAAATTCTTCCAATAAACGTGAAATTGATCGTAACCCAATACAGGCGAACTGGGTTCAACTCAGATTCTTCTTGGAGGGAATACTAATTTGTCTGGTGATCAGCCCAGGTCATTAATGAATGCATTTTTGGAATGTACACTTAGGTATGGAATGTCATTGCAATTCACTAGAGGTCTTTCATTGTGGGTGCAGTGTAAGCTTTTGAACTCTCCCTTGACACTGAGAGCTTCTATTGTGATGTGCTGGTAGTGAATACAGAATGTGATTAATTGGTTTATTCTGGTGGAATTTTTGTTGGACACTCAGGTGTTGCAAAAAGCTGGACTGGGGATGTGGAAAATGATTAGTGAATTGATAAGGTTTTCAAAATGAAAGCAATTTAAAATTGCTATATCGTGGGTTTAGGGCAGCAAGGTACCAAGTGCACTTTTGGGACATTTTCACATTTTTAAAGATTATTGACCACTGTGATGTCATTGATATTCTGTAAAAAAATCAAGGCTGTTTTTTAATTAATTGCAGAGATATTTAATTATGTTAAAAGGTACCAAGTGCATAACTTAGAAATGTTTAGGGCAGCAAGGTACCAAGTGCTATGTGCTTAGGGCAGCAAAGGGCCCATGTGCCACTTGGCTCCTTGCTGCACTCACGCCACGCGTCAAGCCTGGCTATTTTAGCCATGTGGCACTTGGGCCTTTGCTCCACTAAGGGTCCTGCCTATGTTGTTGTTGAGTTTTTATACACATAGATATCTGTGAAGTACTATTTCATGATAAGAAACTAGAATTGACAGTTAGTTTACTTGATACATCCTTCTTAGGGATGGGGAACCTTAACTTGGTTCATTTGCCGCATGGTTGTAGACATATTCACACGTGGACACCGATTTGAGGAAAACATGGACAAAGTAAAAGTAAGTGTTATTCTCTTTATGATTTTGTTATTTATATAATTGAGAAGAGAATGTGTCAATGTCACGGGGAACTGATGTTTTAAAAGAAAACAAACATTAAAATCATGTGGATATCAGAAGAATAATTTGGACTATAAATGTGAATTTCTTTCTCAGTTTGCTTAGTAACATCATTTTCATAGTGAGAAGAACCACGACGCGGATACATAAATTATGAATATCACATAAAACTTATGCTACAGAAAACAATTTACCATTTGAATGGTTCCTCAAATGTATCGTTAAAGTTTCTTTGGACTTTAAAAAGATGTTATACACTGGGATGTTCTTCCATGGTATATTTTCTCTTTGGGAATACATTATAACAGACAGGTATATGAAATGTATTGTTTTAATTGCATGGATAATAGGATCCAGGTGGTACAATATGAATGTAGTGAAGGGTACATTCCATTCTCCTATTTCACATGCATGAACAAGAAGATGTACAGTTTGTATCCTTATATTGAACAGCAGTTGAAGTATGATAATATTCTAATCTTACAGGATTCGGCAAACAATGATCTTTGGCCAGACGATGATGATGATGACTTCACTGTGTGCCATGTACATTGATGAATCAGGTATAGTACATAACCATGTTTGATACCTTGATAACTTGAGCAAATGAAGGGCTTATGAATAACTCATTCACAATCACGCTGCATTTAAACATGTTACCGTCTTGGTTTTCAAAGAAATCAATTTACACCCATTTCTATATGGTGGCTTTTGAATTCATTGATATTTATACTTTTCCCTTGCAGATCAAGTACAAGATGGACAAAAAAGGATTTTTCAATCAACTGAAGTTCTATCAGACGGAAATGAAGATGACGTACCAAAATCAAATTTGAAAAGCAACTTATCTGCAGACAACGACTGCCCCCTCAATAGCACAAACAGACAATGTGCATTGTCAGAAACAGACGATGAAGAGGATGTTCCATTAGCACAGTTACTCCCTGTGCACAACATGGCAGAATTAAGTGATATAGATAGCTCTGGGATTGATGAAACATATCACCCTGCATCATCTTCAGATTCTGATTCCAGTGAGTCAAGGGATTCTAGGAAAAGAATAAGAAGCAGCCCTGTAAAGTTCAGAAAGCGACAGAAGAAAAGCCCCAGTCGAACCTCAGCATCAACCAGTTGTGACATTCAAGCAAGTACGTCTTCCACATCCTGCAAAAACGATTATATGCAAAGAGCTCAACAAACAAGTGCTGAAATGCAAAATCTGCTTATTCTTGCCAGAAGATTTCACAACAAGAGACTTGACCTTCTCCTCAACAGCAATGAGTTACAAGTGTCAGCAGTACCACCAGACGGAAATTGTTTTTTTGCTGCAGTAATCGCAAGTTTGCAAGAAACGCTCTGATCCACAGTCTTTATGAGAAAGAACGTCGGCGAACATCTCCTTGACAATTATGAAAAATTATATGGGTTTCTTGCCACAGGGCAGTTAGATAAAGAAGACCAATTCACTCTCTTTAGACACGAGGTGAACAAAATATCAGGGAATGGAGTTGGAAATGTCCAATCGGAGATTGTCTGCCATTGGCTATTGCCAATATGTTTCAGCGGCCGGTGAGGATTTTTCAAGCAGTGTCTCCACACCTGTCCAATATGTGGAACCGGACATAGC